GGGAAAGGCATTTTACTGCTTCCTCGATGGATATTCAGGGTATAACCAAATAGCCATAGCACCGGAGGATCAAGAGAAAATAACTTTCACATGCCCGTATGGTATCTATGCATTTAGAAGAATGTCGTTTGGATTGTCTAACGCTCCAGCTACATTCCAAAGATGCATGATGGTAATATTTTCAGATATGGTGGAAGAATGCATAGAAATATTTATGGATGATTTCTCTGTCTCGGGTGATGATTTTGAACAATGACTCGGTAATTTATCTAAGGTACTGAAACAATATGAAGAAGTCAACCTAGTGCTGAATTGGGAGAAATACCATTTTATGGTGACCGAAGGAACAGTGTTGGGTCACAAAATTTCATGTCAAGGTATTGAAGTCGATAAAGCCAAGGTGGACATAATTGCAAACCTACCCCCACCCACCAGTGTGCGAGGTGTACAAAGCTTCCTTGGACATGAAGGCTTCTACAGGCGGTTCATAAAAGATTTTTCTCAAATCTTTAGACCCTTATGTATTTTTCTTCAACAAAATCATCCATTTGAATTTACTAATGATTGTTTGAATGCCTTTACAGATTTGAATAAAAAACTTTCGACAGCACCAATCGTTGTCCCGCCAGATTGGAATGAACCATTTGAACTCATGTGCGATGCCAGTGACTATGTAGTCAGAGTAGTGCTAGGACAACGGAAAAGTAAAATTTTTCATGTCATATACTATGCAAGCCATACTCTTAATGATGCACAAGCTAACTATACCACCACGGAAAAGAAACTCTTAGCAGTAGTATTTGCATTCGATAAGTTTAGGCAATACCTAATAGGCACTAAGGTAATTGTGCATACAAATCACTTAGCTCTTAAATATCTGATTAATAAAAAAGATGCGAAGCCTAAACTAATTCGATGGATATTATTACTACAAGAGTTCAATTTAAAAATTAAGGATAGAAAAGGTATGGAGAATCAAGTGGCAGACCATTTGTCTAGGATAGATAAAAAACCTGATTGTCTTGACACAACAGAAATTAAAGAGGATTTCCCTGATGAGAAAAAATTATTTGTCACGACTGCGCCATGGTATGCTGATATTGTTAACTTTCTTGTTAATGGTATTGTTCCTTCTGATTTATCTAGCCAGGGTAAAAATAAGTTTGGATATGATGTGCGACATTACTACTGGGATGAACCGTTTCTCTTCAATTAATACGGAGACCAAATAATTCGAAGATTCATTCCAGAGGAAGAGCAGAAAGATATTATACACCAATGCCACTGGTCACCATATGGAGGGCATTTCGGTGGAATAAGAACAGCAATAAAGGTGCTCCAATATGGATTTTATTGGCCAACCTTATTCAAGTATGCACATGAATTTTATAAGTCATGTGATAGATGCCAACGAACAGGAAACATATCAAAAAGGCATGAGATGGCAAAATATCCTGGAATTTGAACTCTTCGATGTATGGGGAATAGACTTCATGGGACCATTTCCCACATCTTTCAGAGATTTGTAAATCCTCTTGGCTGTAGATTATGTATCAAAAAGGGTTGAAGCCATTTCTACACCTAAAAATGATTCTAAAACAGTGTTAAAATTTTTGCACAAAAATATATTCACCCGATTTGGAATACCACGAGCTATAATCAACGATGAAGACACTCATTTTGATAATAAATTGATAGCCAAGGCAGTGAATCGATATGGAGTACGACATAGGATTGCTATGGCGTATCACCCTCAAATGAATGGACAAGCCGAAGTGTCTTACCGGGAAATCGAACAGATCCTTGAGAAAGTAGTCAACCCGAGTCAAAAAGACTGGTAATTGAAGCTAGATGAAGCACTATGGGCTTATCGCACGGCATTCAAGACACTGTTGGGAATGTCACCATTCAAACTGGTCTATGGAAAGGAATGTCATATGCCTTTTGAATTAGAACATAAAGCCTACTGGGCCATCAAAAAGTTAAACATGGATGCTCAGCTTGCTGGAGAAAGAAAACTCTTGGAACTGAACAAGATGGATGAATTCATAGCACACACATACGAGAACGCTCGCCTATACAAGGAGAAAACAAAATGATGGCATGACAGAAAAATATTGTCGAGGCAATTTTATTCTGGACAACAAGTACTGCTCTTTAATTCACGTCTTAAGTTATTCCCAGGCAAGTTAAAATCAAGATGGTCTGGACCATTCATTATACACCAAGTCCATGACAATGGAGCAATTGAAATCCAAAACCAAAACGATGGGCAGAGACTCAAGAAGTACAAAGGAGCCACAGTCATGCGCGATAAACCAACATCAGTGGCACATGATGACCAATAGTTTGCTCTAATTATTTAAACAAAATTTGTTACCTAAGCAACAAAAATTTGAATTCTGTACATAAATAAATTAAGTTATTTTCTGCTTTCATTATCCATTTTATTTTATTTACTTTATTTATTGTAGGCAAACAAAGAACACGTGGCTGTATGGGGATTAAGAACATGCATGAGAAGAGAAGAAACCCTAGGATGCATGGTTTTGGTGGTAGAATAAAGAGGTAAATATATTTTTCCCCCCACTTTATGTCCAATCATATATTTCTCATTAATGCACAAATCTTTTCCCTCCAAGAAAGGACAAAACTACCCGAAACCACACATTATTTTCCAAAGAAAAAAACTGCTCAACTTCTTCTTCTTCATCGTGCCTCAACCTCTCATCACTAAGCAAGAAATTTTTTTCTCTCCCTATCATCACCACTGCTATTAACCAAGAACAAGGAAAGCCCCATCCTCAACACAGTGTTTTGAACATTTTCAAACAGCCAAAGCAGAATCACGCTTTAAAAATTTTCAGAAACATCAAGTCTATTTGGAAGATGGATTCGTGTTTTCTGCCGAGGAAGAGGAACCATTTGGACCAGAGATGATAGACGTGATTAAGAAACACCACTGGGAGAAGTTTGCTCGTAATCCCAAAGCCGTAGCACCGGTGATGGTACGGGAATTCTACGCCCATCTCGAGAACCCATCTATCCACATATTTTATATCCGAGAAAAGCTCATTCAATTTTCCCCCTCTGCACTAAACCGATACTTTAAGTTGGGAAAAGTGGAGGAGCAACACAAACGATTTATAGCTGAGGTCGATCAAGAAACGTAAGACGGCGTACTACAGGATTTATGCTTTGGGTGGGCTAAGTTCGAAGGGAATTCCCTAATGAGGAAAAGAGTAGATCGTCGAGCACTAAAATCGCATATGAAATTATGAAACCACTTTCTCAAAGGCAAGCTAATGCCAATATCCCACAACACCACTGTCCTCGTGAAGAGCCTGATGCTCTTGCACTCGATCATATACGGGAGGAAGATCGAAGTTGGAGAACTCATCTTCGAGCAGATTCATGAATGTGCCAAGAGGAACTGGGGTAACCTTCTGTTTCCCAACTTGATATCGTATTATGCAAGAAGAATAGGGTTCTTGGGGAGCCCCTCGAGGATTTCATTAAACCCAAGAAGGGTATTACCAGGAAAAAGGTCCCCGAGTTGATGAGTTTCAATGAAGATGACCAATAGGAAGGTTTGAAACGAGGAGCAAAATCGGTTGTCGTGGCTAGAATGGCTGTTGTGGTCACGCACACTTGAGAAATACGTGGAAAGATCGGTCATCTGGAGGACCACATGGAAATCTAATTCGAGCATGTCAAGGCAAGGGACATACAACTCAATGCACTCTTCAAAGAGTTGATCTCGAACACTAACATCAGACTACCGACCTTTCCTAGTATCATCCTCTAATACACTGCGAGCGGCAGCACATTCTATGCCTCGACATCGTATGCCCCTCCAGAAGTACCCCTTGAAGTGCCACCACTAGCAACTCAAGTACCACCCGTACCAGAGGAAGGCCAAGACGACACAAAATAATTCCTCAGCTTCTCCTCCTTTTCAACCTCCGAAAGCAGTGATGATACTCTGCCCCACTTCTTCACCGATGATTATTTTACTCCAGCACCACCACAACCTACGCAAGATACTATTTCGTCCCCTGTCACTCAAGCTACACCAGTCCCAACAGTAGTTCCTAGTCAAGCACCAGTTCCAGCAAAATTCCAGTACAACCAACTCCAACTGCCGAGTAGTCAACTCCAACGCGAGCCTCGTTAAGCAAGAAGCGCTACAAGAGAACGGTAGGACATATACTTTAGCCATCTCCCTAGTCAGCAACATTCGACTCGAGATACAAGAGTCCCTTACCTCCCAAACGACGCCGAACGAGGGCGTCCAGCCAAGCCACCCCACCACAGTGAGTTTCTATTTTATTTTTAGTTTTTCTTTTTCGCATCTGCATATAGATTCATGTAGTTTTAATTTCATGCATTGAGGATAATGCATCCTTTAAGTTTGAGGGAGGTATTGTACCATATTCTTCCATACTTTGTTAGAAAGCAGTTGATGATAATTGGTTGAAAATTTTGATTGTCATGACAAAAGCATGTTAAGGTTATTGTTAGGAATGAATTAGGGATGCCCATTGATGAATGTATAATTTGATTGCCTAGGCCAAAATTATTGTTAAGACTGTCTAAAGAAGAGTACCAACCTTAGGCCTGATTCTTTGAAGTTCATAAACACGACTGTAGACTGTCTTTATTTTAGGTAATCTATAAAATTTTTGGAAAAGGGCTTTCTACTAGTCGAGACTTCAAAAATATTTTAAGGGTGAAGTAAAAACTTTCTAGTGTTTGAAAACTTGAAAAATAAGAAGGGACACTCCTTTGTGCAAAGGCATAAACATGAAAACTCCATAAAAAATAAAGAGTAGACACTGCATATGAGTGAATGAAAGTAGTCACAAGATGACTCTGCCCGACTAGCTTAGGGGTGGAAGGTATGCTTCCTTTCACCTAGAGTGTGGAACGGTAGTTGTGATGAGCTGACTCCCCTACCTGAAAAAAAGTTGATAAATAACTAGGAGTATAAACTAAGACTGAAAAATATTTTGTTGCCTTGACAAACCAGAAGTGCTTACTTAAGTTTTCTAATTACATTTATACAAAGGTTAGTTACAATCATACACACGCTATATAGAAAAGAATCCCGACTAGGGAAGAGACTTGACTTAAATGACTGTCGAACATGTTGAGGCCAAACAATTTTTACTGAGGGCTGAAATCTTAAACCATATGATTTTCTTAACCCTGCTTTGCCATGACAATTTTTATTTTCTTCCAGTTATTATACATTACTTGAGGACAAGCAACAACTTAATTTGGGGGTGTGATAATTTCGTAAAAAGACTTAATTTCTAGTCTTTTCACTTAAGTTATTTCTCGTCTAAACAAAGTATGCATAGCATTTTAGTAGCATTTAGTTGCATATAGGTTACATTAGCTTGTGGTGGATAAATTTTGCTTAGGCAAGATTTATTTGGTTTGACTGATGTTATTGAGGAGAAAGGGTTGTTTGGATTGTGTTTGTGCAGGAAACTTACAGGGGAAGAACATTTCAGTCATGACAACGTAAATTTGCAAAGGCCAACAGAACAGATGAGAACGTGAGGAACTGATTTATCTCGCTAAGGTAAGGTTTATCTGAGGAAGTCTGAAGCAGGTGTGACGAAACCGCCTTTGTCACAAGCCAGCTGGATGACCTACTTCACATGCAAGAAAGCCTTAATTATTCTGACAGCTGCCTTTCCTTTTTAAGTCAGGACATTTATTTGACAACGGTTATTTAAGGAAACTCCAAAAAGCGTACAAAGCCCTAGGAGAATTTTCCTTATAAATAACCAGCCGTAGTCGCCAAAGAAAAAAAAGGAAGAAGAGAGAAGAACTTTACCCAAGAAGTGAGCAAGCAACTGCAGTGCTTCTTCACCGTCTACCCACCGACCTTCCTTGGTGTCCTCCATAACCAGACGTTAGCAGAGCGGTGATCAGGCCTCGAGAGAGGGTGATCACCAAGGCAGGCGTAGTGCTGATAAAAATCGTCGCGATAGAGCCCCCGATTTTGGGAGTCATTCTTCCTTTGTTTAACTCTTTATCTATTTAGGGTTGTATTAAACGTTGAATTTTGGATGATCTTTGATAGCACCATGAATATCTTACTTGATGTTAAACTTTCTGTTACCTGAACAATATTTTTTGTTTTATGAATTATGAATTATATTTTTCTTATGACTGTTTTGCTTACTGCTTAAATGTTTTACCTTAACACTGTAAGAGCATCGAGAGATCGCCTGGGGTTTTGGTAAAACATGTCTTGGCAATATAAGAGCATCGAGAGATAAAGTTTTGTCTAGATAATGATTCTTATATTTGAGAGAATTAAAATAGATCGACTTAAGCAATAGAATGAATCCGGGAAGGTGAAGTTCTAACTTGTCTACCTTAGAGATAAAGAGTAGTTTCAATCGACTAAAAGGGATAGACGCTAGAGTAGAATAGACAATGGCTATAGTTTACACTGAGAGGTATTGCTACAACAACGGATTGTAGTTAACGCTGAGGAGTATTGCCATAGCAACCGTCTAAGAATACCTAGTAATCCTGTCGGGCAGCTTGAGCAAGTCATAATAATTCATTCTAGACTTAGAAATAATTGTTGACAATGAAAGGGTTTAGCATCAGTACTCTGTGATATGTCTGAATATGTGAGGTTGTTTGCATTCGATTTAAATCAACACTTATCGTGTTTTATTTACTTTAACATTCTTCATATTTATTTTGTCTCGACCAAACTTTCCTGCACTCATTAAATCACCTCTTTATTAGTTCTTAAGTTGACAACTTAGTAGGACTTACTTTGTGACATTAGTTCTAGTTGTGGTGAAAATATACTTCTTGACCAATCCCTGTGGAGACTATACTCAATTACCCTATATTACTTGAATCGATTGTGTATACTTGCATAAATTTGCTTGCCTTAACATATACATTTACAAGTGATCAATGCACCCTGAAGATATGGAAAAAACTATATTTGTCACTATGTGGGGCACATTCTGCTATAAGGTGATGTCGTTTGGGCTGAAAAATGCTGGGGCAACACACCAGAGAGTCATGGTAATATTATTTCATGACATGATGTATAAAGAAATAGAAGTTTATGTCGATGATATGTTCATCAAGGCCAATATAGAGGAAGAGCACGTTGAGAATTTGAGAAAACTCTTCCAGAGATTGAGGAAATGCCGACTGAAACTTAATCCATGTAAGTGTACCTTCGAGGTGACATCTAAGAAGCTCTTGGGGTTTATAGTGAGAAAAAAAGGGATTGAAATAGATTGAAACAAAGTCAAAGCTATTCAAAATTTACCACCCCCATAAATACAAAAATAAGTTCGAGGATTCCTGAGGAGATTATGTTACATCACTTGGTTTATCTCACAATTGACCGAGATATGTGATCTCATTTTTCGCCTTCTCTAAAAAAATAACTCAGGGTATAGAATGATGATTGTCAAGAAGCTTTTGAAGAAGTTAAGAATTATTTATCAAATACCCCAGTCTAAGTGCCACATATCATAGGCAAACCATTAATTCTCTACTTACTAGTCTTTGAGAACTCATAGTGTGTTATTATGGTAGCATTACCAAACTAAGAAGAAAGAGATATCAATTCTATCTCAGCAAAAGGTTCTGATTACGAGGCAAGGTACTCACCTGATCAAAGTGTTGTGCTTTGGTTTGGGCTACTCGAAGGCTCATGCAGTATATTTATCACACCACTTGGTTGATCTCCAAACTTGCCCTTGAAATATATGATGGTTGTACCTGTTCTATCTGGAAGATTAGCTTGGAGGATTCTATTTCGAGTTTAACATTCAATGCGTAAGCTAAAAAGTAGTTAAAAGGAGCACCAGAAGATTCTATTGCAAAAAGGGTTTTTGAAGAATATGAGCCATTGAGTTTTGATTTCCCAGATGAAGATCTAATGGCTATTTCACTAGATGAAGCAATTACATCTACCAATGATCACTGAAAGTTAAACCTTGATGGTGCTTCAAATGCCTTGGGGCAAGGAATTGGAGGAATTTTGGTCTCTCCTAGTGGAGAACATTATCCTTTTATCAGTCAGCTTAATTTTGATTGCACAAATAATATGGATGAGTACGATGCTTGTGTTTTGGGTCTCAGAGCTTCCATTGAGCGCAAAGTAAAGACACTCAAAGTATATGAGGATTCAGCTCTAGTAATTTATCAACTTAGAGTAGAGTGGAAAACAAAAAGATCACAAACTGGTGGAATACCGTAAATTGGTCATAGAACTTATCGAAGAATTTAAAGAAGTGACATTCAATGACCTCTCAAGAAGATAATAAAATGGCATATGTCTTGGCTACTTGGCAGCAACATTTAAAGTAATGAACACTCAAATATGATGCTCATTGATATAAAGGCTTTTGTGTATCCATCCCATTGCTTTAACATTACATAAGAAGAAGATGCAAATCCCTGATATTATGGTATCTTGCAATACATTAGATATCAAAGTTATCATGAGCAGGTAACTGAGAATGACAAAAGAATTATTAGAAGGATTGTTGCAGGGTATATTCTTGATGGTGAGATCTTGTACAAGAAAAGTCCAGATCAGGTTCTATTGAAGTGTGTAGATGCCAAAGGAGCTAGAAAAATCGTCGAGGAAGTGCATAAGGGGGTGTGGTACCCATGCCAATGGACATACAATGGCTAGATAAATAATGAGATTTAGGTATTATTGGTCACCAATGGATGAGGAGTAACATCAAATGGTGATCAAGGTTGGGACTAGAGATTGAAAAAGTCTTGATTAAAACAACCAAAAAAAGAAATTGAATGCATACGATATTCAATACTGGTTTATGGCATCTAATATCTAGAGATTTGGTAGTCTATAAGGAACTTCACACCCTTACACATTGTCATAATTCTCGAGATCCCTTTACATAAGCTACACTTGAGTCACTCTGCAGCGTGCCAGTTCAAAACATCTTTACTATTGATAATGGGATACATGATTCATTTTCTTTTATTTTCCCAGTTAAAAGTTTACCATGTATTTACCCAAAAGCTCTTTACATTTATAAAAATAAATAAAAGGTCTTTCTGGTTGACATTCTTTTGCAAGCATCTTACATTGAAATTAAATACATGCAGTTTAACTTGAAAAACATGAAATCATCATGTATTATTGTGCAAAAAGTTTTGGAGAAGTGTAGTTGTTCTGAAGCTGACAATGATTTTAGCATGAAGCTTGTATTGAGATAGGCACCAGGAAATTAAAACCTTGGGGTGATAAATTTTTTTAGCAAGTCGAGATGAATCCAAGATATTCATCACTGATTAGGCAGATGGGTTATGAAACCATTAAATGTTCATGGGAAGGAAGAAAACAAGATCATACTCAACCAAAGCACATGTCATCAAGATGGTTAGTCCACGTGAACCGATGGTGATTTTGCGCCCAAGATTTGACTAAGTCACAAAGCGATCAACGAGAAGGGGTTCTCATTTGAAGATTAAAATACACCAAAATTGCATTATTACACACATTTTAGGCAGAAATAGGATCATGAAGTTCATAAAATGCATGATCATAAATGAAATTGAGTACTTACAGGTCTTCCAAAAGAAAGCTGAAGATTGAAGATTCTAAAACCTTAAGATAAAATTAACCAATTCAAAGTCCCAAAAAAGGAGAGGTTCAAATAACACTCGAGTCAAGGAAAATTTCCATATCTGGTGGTTGCGAGACAAGTTTCCACAAGGGAAGTTGATTTTCAAAGATTCTCTTAAATTCTAAACTTTTGGGTATGATATTTTCAAACTCCTGAATGTATACTAACGAGTGGTAATGTTTAAATTGTCAGATTCAATCTTCTTGAAGACTAGAGAAGCAAATCAATCCTGGTTCATTTGTTTCCAAAAAAGGGTAGAGTGAATCCAATTTCTTTAAAAGATCTGATCTCTTCGAAAGAGTAACAGAGCATATCCTCATTTTTTTAGATTTGATCTTCCTGAATAACAGTGAAGCAATTTAACCTTGATTTAATGTTTTCGAAGAATAGTGAATTGAATCAATATTTTTTAATCTAATCTCACCTAAAGAGTAGTGGAGCAGTTCTTTCAGATTTGGTCATCATGAAGAGCAATGAAGCAAAACAAGTTCGATTCAACCTTCCCTGAAGAACAACGATGTGAATCAAAATTTTCAGATCTGATTACCAGGAAAAACAATGGAGTAGATCAAATCCAACCTACCCTGAAATTACGGTGGAGCAGATTAACCTTTCGAAATCTTCACATTCAAATAAAACTGACTATCCTTTTATCTTTGCTCTATTTTCGTTACACGAAAATGAGCAAAAAAAAAAAGGGCAGCTGTAGATACTCATTTATGTCTGGGGCTACATCCAAGTTCATTAATGTTTATATATATAGTATTAATTAAATTAAATGCAAAAGATTATTGGCCTAGTTATTTAGTTATATGTAGTGTACATATTACATAGGTATATATATTATATTATATTATATTATTATTTTTTATATTCATATGTTATATTATTATTAATTATATGAGTTAATTATTAGTTATTATATTTAGTTATGCGTGTGTTTGTATGTATGTGTATATATATATTATATATAATTATATGGTTATATTATGACATATATACTTATATCGATGAACATATATAATTTTATATATATAAAAGTATGGGTGTGTGTTTATATTATATACGTATAAATATATATAAAATCAAATATATTTATATATATATATATATAATATTAATTTAAAATGCACTAATCTTATTCAATGTTTACAGGCCCGAAGGTGACAAAGAGTAACTACATGAAGCCCAAAGCAATTACAAGAAACAGTGGCCCAAACAGCAGCCAACACTCGAACTAAAGCAAGACTAATTGATTAGAAGCCCTAAGTAGCCACCCATGTGCTATCTAAGGTTTGGAGAGAAGACCCTCACCATCCGTGCGCCGTCAGAAGATCTGATCCTTCATATCTGTTAATTAATCTAACAGTCCAGATCAAGACCAAAATTAGGGTTTTTATAACACTAAAAAAGATATACGCAGTCGTCTATCCACTATTGTATCTGTTGAGATCCAACGGCCCAGATACAACAAAACTTAGGGTTTTACCCTAAAAGATACCAACCATCGCGTCAGTAAAGGTTAAATGTCTGATGACCAAGCATGAGATGCACGCACAAGCATTTGTGCTCTTCACACACTCGGTTTGATCCTCACCCAAGCCAAGCACTCGTTGGTCTCCACCTGATTCACGCTACCACGATACATCGATTGCCTTTACTATACTCGATTATCTGCATGGCCTAGTAGCACCTCTGCCATGAAAGTGGCAGAGCCTCCCCAACGCAAAACTCTAACAAACCCCTCACACGCAAAAACAAACAAAAAAGGGAAAATATCAAAAAAAATGAAAGGGATGGTTTCTGATTCCAAAAAATAGAAAATAAAGGGGGAGAAAAGACATTAAACAACACCAAAACAAAACAGATTGGAGAACCTTTTTTTCTCAGACATAAAACAAAAAAAACAACATCCATCTTTTAGTAACACAAACCCAAAAAATAGAGGATCATTCTTTTCTCATCAGCACCGAAACCAAAAGAAGATAAAGACCCTTTTTTATGACCGAGCAACCTAGCACCCAAAAGTAACAAAAAAACTAACCAAGAAAAAAGGCCTCACATTCCTTTTCCGAAAAGCTGCACCGCCATCCCCCATAGTCAAAACACCGTTGAGCCATTGGAGGTAATATTTCTTTTGGGGTTTAAAGGGCTATATAGTTAGGGTTTAGGTGGTTTTAAGTTTGGGATTCGAAAGAGAGTGGTTTAGGAGGGTTCTTGCCCCTCATCAAGGCTGCTAATGGGCAGTGACCATGGTGGCTATGGGCTCAAATGTAACCCCCTAGACTCGGCCTGGACGTTATGCTCAAATCTAGGCGGTTATATATCGTATTTAGAAATTCTTTTCATATTTAGGACAACATTAAAATCCATATGACAATATAATATGAAATTAGTCATAAGAAATGTTCATACGATAAACATATATATATACATATATAAGAAAATCATATAAAACATATACAGAAAAAAATACTGGTAATACATATATATAGAGACGGTAGAAAAAACACATGGCACCAAAGTATAACAAAAAAACATATAGAGATATATAGTGGTACATAAATAGGAGTAGTCGGTCTTCCTGATGCCAAGTCTACTAGCCTACAACCTGCTACTATCTAAAAAGGATAAAATTTACATAATTAGCTAAATAGCCCAATATGCTCCTAACGGTGTATAAAAAACATACTGATAAAATAATTCAGTAAAAATCAGTTCATCAAACATGTTTTGAAAATATGAACACTACCCCCATTGGATCACCAAAATGTGTAGGTTCCCCATAACCATACACCTGGTAAGGACCTTATACAAATAGCATAAGGACCTGCGATAAGGACTTACTCTGTGCACAAATCATATGAGTTTGCGGTAAAGTCTTACAAGTCATAGTCTAGGCGTAATATACTTCCTCCAATAATACCCCCATTGACAGTAATAAACATGTATGTATTCAAGTGAAAACTGTAGTTTAATCCAGTAAAACATGAAAATATTTCATACTAAAAAATAAGATAAAGAAATACAGTAACCAAAGATCATTTCAGAAATATACAATAAATCAAATATCAAATAATCGATATTCAGAAAATCAGGTATCGTATCGTAAAAATATTCAGTATCATCAGAAATTTAAAACAGTTCAAATAAATAGTTTAAAACTGTAATGTAACACCATCACGAAACACACATGTATCGGTCTTAGTAGTCTGATAAGGAAGCCTACTACTGATTCTGTCGATCAAGGTCAATGGTAGCGCTAGATCCTACGAATCGAAAAACCTATATCAGAATCCTAATATGAATAATAATAACCTCTATTTAAACAATTAACATAAACCTATGAGTAACTATCGAAGAACATGAATCGAGCGAATCTAACGGACGGGAAGCACCAGATCTAATTAACCCTCGGTCAAGAGAAACATGAGCACTAATCTCGGTTCACAATGGTGAACGGCAGAGAGCTCGATTTGATAATGTCGGGAATTTGCTTTCACTCACCCCTCCACACGCTAGAGACGACGACAATGAGGTGACCAACTCAGGACGATGTAAGGAACACCATACTATGAGAGGTGTCGATCACGGAGCAACGGTCGGAATTCAAACGACGATCAAAATTTCTTGGCTAAAAAAGAAGGTTTGAATAGAGAGAAAATGAGTATCCAAAAAATGAAAATTAATGAATTTTGGGGTTTTAAACCCAACCAAAAAGAAAAATGGGTAAATTAAACTATAGGTCCTCAAGATTTGGTTACTTTCTGATTAGGGTATAAATTCAACTAAAATTTTATTTTTGGTACCTAAATTTAATTAAAATTTCAATTTAGTCCTTGAAAAATATTTTTTAAATGGCCCTAATTTTAGGTGTGACAACTCTCCCCTTAAAATAAATTTCGTCCTCAAGATTTATCTGATGGAAATAGATGCT